TTGGTAGAATATTCATTTTAATAGTTGATATACGCCCTAATAAAGATAATTGTAGAGTCCCCCACCATTCCAAATCTTTTTTAATTTGTTGAAATAATTTCACAGAATTGTCTTCTTTTATTGAGCATCTTGCTGTTAACCATATTTCTAAATACAGTATAATTTTTTTGTAATTTGTAATCCAATTGCATCTTCTAATTCTCTTTTGTGCTTTATTGTTATATTTTTCACTAGCATTTTAGTTTTAACTCTATTAATTTTAAGGCCTGAAACTTCTCCATATATCTCTAATTCCTGTATCAATATTGGTCCAGATTCCAGTGGCTCCTCAATTAAAAAAGACCAGGTCATCCGCAAATGCCTGTACTTTATAATCTTCCTTTTTAATTTTTGCTTCTTTTATTTCTGGGTTTGTTCTAATTTTGATTAATAGTGTCTCTAATGTTAGGATAAAGAGCAGAGGTGACAGTGGACATCCCTGATGAACTTCTTTCATTATTTTAAATATTTTAGTAGAATATTCATTTATTACTTCACTAGCCTTTGGGAGGTATATACTGTTTCTATCATTTTTTCAAATTTGCCTCCAAATTTCATCTCTTTGATTTGTTGAACGCTTTTTGGACATCCAGAAAAACAAGGGTCACTTGTTTCTCTGGATGCACTTCATAATATTCTAATATATTCACTACCGTTTTAATATTGCAGTATGGAGCTTCAGTGGTGCGGTGGTTAGAGTGCAGTACTGCAAGCTACTTCTGCTGCAGCCAGCTGCCTGCAATTTGGCAGATCGAATCTCACCAAGCTCAAGGTTGACTCAGCCTTCCATCCTTCTGAGGTTGGTATGAGGACCCAAATTGTTCGGGGCAATATGCTGACTCTGTAAACTGCTCAGAGAGGGCTGTAGAGCCCTATAAAGCAGTATATAAATCTAAGTGCCATTGCTATTGTCTCTTATTTGTCTTGATGGTAAAAATCCATTCTGGTCAGAATGTATAATCTCGTTCAGTATTTTTCTCATCCTCCCTGCTATAATAGTCATAAAGATTTTGTAATCAGCATTCAAAAGTGAAATTGACCTGTAATTTTGAATTTGATTGCCATCGGTACCTTCTTTTGGGATCACAGTGATATATGCTTTCTTCCACATATCAAGTATTTTAGCTTCCTATAAAGCCTCGTTGCACACTTCCAGTAGTACTGGTTCTATTAATTCTCCCGTATTTTTGTATATTTTCCCTGGTAAGCCATCCAGCCCTGGGGATTTATTAGCCTTTTGTTTATGGATTGCTTCTTTTAGTTCTGTAATCGTTATTTCTCTGCTTAACATTATTCTTTTTTCTTTGTCTATTGGTGATTCTCTATTTTCAAATACTGGCTTATTTTATCTATTGGTGTTTCTTCTTGACTTTAAGGTTTTCAAAATATTTTTGGATGATCATCTTTTTCCCTTCTTCATTATTTTGCAAATTGCCCGACTCAACCTGAAGATGGTGTATTATTATTTTCTTTTTTTAATTTGTAAGCCAGCCATCTTCCTGGCTTATTTGCATATTCTAAAAAAAAAAAATGCTTCATGAATTTGAGATCCCTAACATCATCCTCTTGATCTAATAGACTTAATTTGTGTTTGGCCAAATTCAATGTCTCACTAATCTGTTCATTCCCTGGGTTTATTTGAAGTTTATTTTCTAGTTGTCCGATTTCTGTCTGTAATGAATTGTACTGTCTCTTTTTCTCCTTATTCTTCTTTGCTGTGTAGGCTATTGTAATCCCCCTAGTGTATGTTTTCATTGTGTCCCATAGGATTTGGAGTGAGGTATCCTGTTTCTTGTTTTCATCAAAAAATAAGGTCAGCTCACTTTCAGTCCTCTGAGTATACTCTTTTTCTAGTAAGATCTGGGGGTTCATCTTCTCCCTTTCTTTTCTGACCTCTCCATATTATTAACAAGGGGTTATGATCCGCCCAGGTATTTGGGAGCATTTCAATCCTCTCTATCTTCTTACCTATATCTCTATTCGCCCATATCATATCAATTCTTGAGTAAGATTTGTGGGAGTTCAAATAAAAAGTAAATTTCTTTTCATTCGGGTTTAATATTCTCCACTATCAGTCAAGTTTAATTCATCCACCATCTCAAAGAAAAATTTTGGTAATATATTCCTTTTGTTTTGTTTTCTTGTTTTGTCACTAATATAATCTTTTTTTTATATCAATTATCTATTATAGTCATCCACTATACACACATTCCTCTGGTCTATTTCTATGATCTTTTCATAAATTTTCTTAGAGCATTCCTTCTGATTCTTATTGGGAGCATACATATTTACTAACAACATCAAGATTGTATTTAATAAAAGAACTAATGGGAGTGAGAAAGCTAGTATCTTAAACCCAGAACAAAATTTGTAATTGGAGAAGATTTTATAACAAAGAATACTCTTAACTAATTTGTGAACACTTACTACTGAAAATTTTAAATATTGTAAGCACCTAAATAGACTATCTAATCGAGAGAACCACAAGCTCATTTCCACCTTCACCTACATTAAACTGTCTTATTTATTCTATCACATCTAAGAGATTCATAAAGAAATGCATTTTTATGTAATCTATACTATTAATTTTCAGGAAAAAAAATGTTCTAAGCAACCTATAAGTTAACTTAATCATTGGCTTTTTAAAGAAAATTATATTTATGAAATGCCACGATGTTTTATTTAATAAAAGAACTAATGTGAGAAAACCAATCTCTTGCACCCAGAACAATATTTGTAGCTGGAAAAGATGATGTTATAACAAAGAACACTCTAATTAAATTGCAGGCATCTGTTATTGAAAATTTTGAATATTTTATGCATCTAAATAGACTAATTGAGAGAACAAGCTCCTCATTTACATCTTCAACTACATGGAACTTTACCTTTTCTATCACATCTAAGAGGTTCATAAGGAAATGCATTTGTGTAATCTATACTATCAATGTTCAGAAAAAATGTTTTAAGGAGCCTTTAGGTTAACTTATTCATTGGATTTTGAAAAATAAAATAAACTTTATGAAATACCACAAGGTTTTATTTAAGAAAAGAACTAATGAAAATAATGCAAGACTGTAGAGATATTATATCTCATTAAATTTAAGTTACTTACTAATTATCATGTTTCAGATTAAAAAATTAACTTATTATATAAATTTCTATTGATTATGAGGAAAAGGGAACGTGTTCCCCCTTGGGGTTTTTTTCACTTTTAAATATGTTTTCCTTTTCAATTTTCTGCCATCCTTCTTGTAGTTCTATATTTCAGTTTTTCTTGAAATTCATTAAAGCTGTATTCAATCAACTTTCAGAAAAAATATTCTAAGGAACCTATAGGTTAACTTATTCATTGGATTTTAAAAGGTAAAATAACAAAATAATAATTTTGCACCCAGAACAAAATGTGTAGCTGGAGATGATGATGTTATAACAAAGAACACTAATTACTTTAGAGACACCTATTATTGAACATTTTAATTATTATAAACACCTAAATAGACAACAAGCCTTCTTTGTTTCCATCTTCAAGTAAAATAAATTTTCTTATCTATTCTATCATACTAAGGAACTGTGGGACAACAAATCAAAGGTCCAGAAGGCAATATATTTGTGTAATCTATACTATGAACTTTCAGGAAAAAAAATATTCTAAGGAGCCTATAGGTTAACTTATTCATTGGTTTTGAAAGATAAAACTTTATGAAATACCACTCAACTGGAGTGAACAAATCATTTCATTATGCTTTTCTGTCATGTCTAAGAGCCCATAGGAGCATATGCAAGCTTTCATTATTTAGATTTGACAAAAAAATGTACACATTGGAATGAAGAAGCTACTTTTTGTTGGCATATACTTGAACAGACTGACAATTTTTAAACATTTTGATGAGGTCAATGTGATGTAGAAAAGATCAGATTTTTCCACTACTCCAACAGAAATGTGGAAGCAAAGAGATCAAATTGAAGTTCTAGAAGGATATTATTTGGCAGGTTCATGATCGCCATTCTGGCCAGGAAGAAATTACTCATTGCTGATATGGCCTCTTCTTCCCTTTGGCACCACTTAATAGTTTCTGATGAGGAGACAGGGCTTATTATCCCTTGTGTCTTTCCTCACTGATGCATTTAAAACAGAAAAAGATGCAAAAGATTTCCTTACACCAAAATAACTGATTGATCTTTGGATGCCTGGATTCCACTGGGTTCTATATAAATGAAGAACCACTGAAACAGAATGGTTGAATTAAATATCTGGTAAAAGAAACAACTATTTATAAATTGTTGGCTAAATTTTATGTTGCATTTACAGTTGGCTGAATTTCATGATTTTTCGCTATATGGAAATTCTAAACAACATCTCAGTTGTCTCAAGACATTTCAGTTGTTTCTTCAGCATAAGACATTTTGGTTATCTTTTCAATGACTGAAGTTCCTTTCTGAGTTGTAATTGCTTCTGAGGTTAACTCCAGGTCCCCGATTATAGTATCACTAGTAATATCCTTTCTAATTTGTTGCACAAGTTTAGTAACCATTACTGTTTTGTCAATAATTCTAAGTCCAGAATTCTGCTCAGACTATTCCTCATTATCATTCACATGTTTAGTGGGCACAGCAGTTAGTATCCAAGATATAAATATTTCTTCAATACTTATAACATCGTTTTTCTCTTCCATCCTTGTTTTAGATTTTCTTCTTCGAGTTACTAATCTTTTAAAAGATTCCCATCTCAAAATTTCCTCTGTTTCAGATGGATTTCCTGTTTGCTCTGGTGAAGATATCATTGTCCTTTTCAACCACTTTTGTTTCTTTTTTTCTCTCTTTCTCACTTTTCATTTTTTCATCTCTGGCTCAGAAAGAAACTTCTGACCCATCTTTTTCTGGTGTCTGTTTTTCTTTTTCTAATTCTTTTTCAAAAATTATTCCTTCTGTTGTCACTCCTTTCTCATTTATTATTCCTGTTTTTATTTCTCACATTGCACTTCCTTAGGTTTTCTGAAGCTTGTCCTTTTTCTAAACTCAGCCCAACTTTGAGTTAAAAACTTTCTTAGAAGTGATGCAGCTTCAGCGGTTGATGGGCTTACTGGAGAGTTTGGAGAGTAACATGGAGAATCCCATTGTTTTTAGTTTCTGCCTCTTTGTTTTCTGGTTCAACTGGATTTTCTGTTACTTTCTCGGAAGAGGTTTTTCCTTTCATCTCCTCAGCCTGGGTTTTCTCTACAGAGGCAGCGATTTCACTTTGTGTGGCTTTTCCCATTGTCTCTGTCTTGAATTGTTTATAGTCTCCAGTTACATCACTTGACACTTCTATGACCTCTGGCTTTATAGCCAATAGCTGAATAGGTTCAGCTTTATCTGTTTATCCATTTTAACTGTAAATTGGAATCCAACTAATTTAAAAACCTTTTTAAATCCAACATCATTTGATGGAGATACACTAGGTTGATCTTCTTTTTCTTCTGATTCCAGCTATTTATTAGCATCTTCTGGGTCTTTCTGTATCTCATCTTCATTTGACTTTAATTCTTAGTCATTAATTCTTTAATTTCGTTTAATTCTTTAGTCATTTAATTCTGATAGGCTGGTCTTGATATTTTCAGGAGATTCCTCTTCCAGAATTAAATTTGCTGCTTTTGCTTCACCAACTGTAAAAAATATTCAATTATGATAAAAATTTAGCAGTGCCATTATAGTTAGTTAGTTAATTAATTAATTAACTGCACTTAATTACATTGGGGAAATTCAACCATCCCTTATTTTGTTAACCTATAAATTTCCTGGACGTAGGTTCCAATCATGTTGCAACTGTCTGTTGCAAATGTACTAAAGTTAATGAGTATAAATTGATTTCAGTCTCACTTCATTTTTTAAATTATAAATTTTGTATTTATTATAGGAAAAACAGCAATAAGAAAATTTCAATCCATATTTGTTTTATTTGCTTATTGTTTTCTTGAATGCTTATTACCTCATAATTTCCTTAGCTAAGTTTCATCCTTTCTAAAGAAATAAAGTTCATATTACATTTTAAGACACATAGTGCTCAGAACTAAGCTAGAAAGAGTTTTATAGTACAAAATTGTCTTTGTTTTAAAAAGATTTTGAGAAGAATCAGCTTCTTAACTGATTATATGTTTTAGGAGAAAAGGCAGAGTGTCAGTAACAGAACCTAAAACAAAAACACAGATAGTTAGAAATATATATACCGATATGTGTAAAATACAGATAGTTAGAATAGATAGATAGATAGATAGATAGATAGATAGATAGAGTGTGTGTGGTGTGTGTGTGTGTGTGTGTGTGTGAAGTGTAAATAAAAATGATTTGAAAAGTATATTGGAAATATAATTAAACTATATCTTATTTCTCAAGTTTTGACATAGCAATTTTTCATCATTCCAAATTTGAAGAAGAATATGCCTACTGGTTGTAACTGGTTGCATGGGGGGTAGATATAGGAACTAACAGTATTTTGACTTTTAAAGAATGGGCTTTCTTATGTTCCAAACCCCACTCTGTCAATGATGACATCAACTGACCTTCTAATGATGCAGTAGTATTCCACAGCAGTTGAAAAACAGTTAAAAGACTCAGACAAAGCAAGTCACCTGCAGTCTAGCAATGGCGTAGGATGCAAGACCCCGTTGAAAAGTCTCAGAAAAACAGTAAAGAAATGCTATCAAAAGATGGTAGAAGACCTGGGATCTGTTGTCTCTGCTGTTCTTGTATTGGGGGCTTGGTAAATATTGTAATAGAAGATTAAGATGTTTTATGTTCATTCCTGAATATTTCTATATGGGTTGAGCTTCAGTGGAAAAGTTTGATAGCAAACTGCTTCCTATTCAGACTGCACTTTGGGGACATTTTTCAATTCAGAAACAAAATGAAATAATTCGTAAAAATGGATCAGGAGACCTGGTACGATGATTATGTTTATATCCCACCTTTAATTTGTCCAAATTATGACAGTATACATAAAGTTCCTGCCTTCTATTTTCCCCAGAACAACTGTCCTGTGATTGAACTAAAAGACTGAGTAGTCCAAAGTCTTCCAACCAACTTTCATGATCTTCAAACTGACTATTTATTAATACATTTTTTTTTAATCACTACCAGTAATGAGGAAAATATTTATTTTGTCAAATGCATCACTCTTATCATTGGGAAAAAATAATGATGCATTTTCCTTTTTTACTAATTCTAATGGAATAAATAACATCACTTCCACAATTATCATGGTGTGGGGCCAACATTGTGGATATGCTGGGGAAAAAAGGAAACTTTGCATCTTACAAATCCTCTGTTATATTTGTTTTTGCCCCACTTAGCATCACTAGTAGAACATCAAATCTGAAAAATAATCCATAGATATTACCCAGTAATGGGCCTTCTTGTCTGCCAAAGGAATGGTACTTATGGTCAGTTTCTGGCAAGGATATAGTTCTTTAATATTTATAAAAATATACTTCCTTTTTAAAATCACAAAAATATCACTTTTAAACATGTTTATCAAAGTCATATTTTATATTTAAAGTGGTTTCATTTTACAGGTAGTTAAGATAAAATTTGCTTTATATATTTGCTTTTATATTTATTGTTAAGTAGACTGTCATGAGAAAAAAGATTAAATTAATTCACTATTGGAACACACAATCCCATGATTCTTACTTGGTTGTGTAAACAATTGTAAGTTAACCTGATCTTTGAAGTAAGATAAAGAACCCATTTTTTATGTTATTTGGAAAATTAAGAAAAAACGTATTTATCTTGATATAAGTGAAGTTTGAGAGCTTTCTTTGTTAATTTCTTTTCTCTTTCTGTTGATTTTTATAACAAAGAATCTTACAAATTACACCATAGAATTTAGAATGGTGTATAAATTTGTCCTTTGGTTTAAAGTTAAGAGATTGTTCTGTCTTTAAAAATTAATTTATTAAATTTTATCTTAGGGGAATCACTCGACATATATCCACATATTAACTGCAGGTCAGTAAATCAGGTCCTATTGATATCATTAGATGCAATTTAGAACTACAGCTTTATCTTCCAAAAATATACTCTAAACTTTACACATCAAATAATGACAAGGACATATATAATTATTTCCCAAAACATGTATCCGATTTATTAATTAATTAAAACGTTGGAAATGTTTACAGTCCATCTCAAACTGCCCAAGGAGCTGCTGATACAGTTCTACAGAGGAATTATTGAGTCTGTCATTGGTACCGCTATAACTGTCTGGTTTGATTGTGTAACCCAACAGGACAGACACAGATTTCAGAGGATAATTAGGACTGCAGAAAAAACAATTACTACCACCCTGCCTTCAATTGAGGCACAAGTCAAAAAGAGGGCTGTGAAAATATTTACAGACCCCTCACATGCTAGACAAAACTATTTCAAATCCTTCCCTCAAAACGATGCTATAGAGCACTGCACACCAGAACAACTAGACATAAGGACAGTTTTTCCCCAAACACCATTCAACTCTGCTAAACAAATGATTTCCTCAACACTGTCCACATTTTTACATAGTCTGCACTACTATTACTATTAATCTTCTCATCACTCCTTATCATCCATCCCCTCCCACTTGTAACTGTAACTTTGTCTCTTGTATCCTTATGATTTATATGGACTGTTTCCTAGTATGATTTGATTGCTTATTGTACCTTATGATTCTTTACTCTTGACGAATGTATCTTTTCTTTAATGTACACTGAGAGCATATTCATCTTCCAGATTCATCATAAGTAACATTTAATATACTTTAGCAACCAAGTAATCATCATAAATTTTTATCCAGTTCAAATTTAATTCTTGTGAAAACAAAATTATTTTAGCAAATTTAAATCTTTCAAAAATTCTATAATAATTAAACCAGTCACCAAATCCTTCACTTACTAATGGTTCTCTTGTCTTTATCTTGGATTCCTTTTTCAAGTGCCAATAAGTTCTAGCATATTATCCATTTACATCCCAATCACTTTTCTGTTCTATATAGTGCTTCATGAGGTTATAACCAAGGTGGTACTCACTCTTTCAGGTAATCTTCTTTTATATTTCTGCCATACATGCCCATCAATTGCTTAATATGATTTTTAAAATCAGGGTTAACTTTTACTTTGTACTACCACAAACAGGCATGCCACTCAAATCACAAATCGGAGCCTTCAATGTCTAACAATCTTGAGTTTTTTAAAGTTATCCAATCTTTCAACTATATCAAACAAGCATCATAACATAATTAAAATCCAGCAAACCTAGACCACATCTCTCTTTAGAATCCTGTAAGATTCTGTATTTGATTCTTGTTTTTTTATTTTGCGAAATGAATTTAGATATATATTTCTGCCACTGTTTAAAAGAATTTTTAATCAGTATCAGTGTAGTCTGGAATAGAAATAACACTAGGCAATACATTTAATTACTGAAATTCTTCCATTAATGACAATTCTAGTTGTGTCTGTTTAAATCCGACTTGATCTCCTTCCATATTTTTAGTTTTTAATATAACTTAGAATTTTCATTTGTAAGAATCACCCCCAAATATTTTACCTATTTTAAACCTAAAGTCCCAGTTCAAATTATCAAACATTTTTTCTGCATTTGGAAAAAATAGTGCAACCTGTTTGTCGCTGGTTGTTGTAAATGTTCAGTTACATTCAAGATTACTCTTACATTGTCTTTTAGGTAAAAAAATGCTGGTCTTTATGTATGCAATCCTGTAAAACTTAAAAGTCTTTCGGCTAAGATAGATGTGAAACATTTGTAAATGTTATTAAGAAGAGAAATTGTTAACTCTGTAATTCTTCAGAGGTTAGGTCCAGTTCTTCTTTAGGTATTAAAGAGATTAACAACCTGGTTTAAAATTGCACCTGCTGCATTGCCTTAGCAATTGTTCACTGTTATGACTGACAAGGACACTGCAGAGCTTCCTCTACTATCTTCTCCACTCATCTCACCGGGTCCCCACAGGCCATTGACCTATTCCCAATCTGGCAACTCAGCCACGCAAGGGATCCTAAAGCCAGGCAGAAGTTACTAGTGCACAGAGGGCTGTTATAGCCAGGCCAGTGCTATGGGATAAAAGGCGATGCGAGGCTCACTTTCTTACAGAAGCCACCTCATGGCAACCATGTCCTATTCTGTAAGCAGGCACTATTCTCGCAAGCCTGTAGGAGGCTGTTTTTTTTAAAAAAAGAGGTTTTGTTTGTGGAGTTTAAAAGTGGCCCTCACCCACCAGAGGCTCACAAGAATAGTAACCTATTTGCAGAATAACGCAAGGTGGCCGTGAGGCAGCCTCTGTAAAAATAGCTGAGCCTCGCATCATTTAGGCCAGGTGCCTCTGTAAAAACACGAAGATAAATTGTGTGCTGCTTAGTCCTGGAGCTGGCTGAGGAATAGGCCAAATCTGTCAAGTCCCTTAGGTGGCTGGATGGAAAGCAGGCCGAGGCCTGCCAACTGCAACAGCTCCCCTCATACCAGCAGTTTCTGCTGCCTGGCTTTAGGCTTCCTTTAGTGGCTGGATGGGAAGCAGGCCAAGGCCTACCAACCAACAGCACACTGGTATTTTCTGCTGCCTTGGGAGCAGGCTAAGGCCTGCAGGGACCCTGAGAGGCAAGGAGAAAAACACAGGGCACTTCAAGAGGTGGCAGAGGTCTTGGGAAGCTTTAAATGGTTCTCTAAACCTCTTTGCTGGTGTATGTTGACATGAATAATGATGTGATTCTATGAGTACCTCCTTTAAAAAAAATATAAAATAAAAACTATTTCCCCAACTAAAGTTCTAAGGGCATCCAAAACCCTTCTGCTTAAGCATAGGTGGCAGTACTACAATTACATAGGAATTACTCACCCAAGAAATCACAACACAAGAGTGAATTATTTGAACTTTATTTAATCCGTGAAAATCTACCTTAAAAACAACATAGAAAATCAAAATATAATCCAATACAATCAATTAGAAGAAACTGCAAAAGCTTGGAGTTGAGGCACAAGCTAAAATTTGCAGCCTTGTCTGAAGTATTTTTGAGGCCAAAGCAACACGCTGTATCAAAGCACTATCTGTGAATGGAGACATGCTCCCTGCACCACAACAAATATTCTTTGGGTGCCTTATTTTTTGTTTTGAGACCATCAGTTGCAAGAAGAATGACTGGTTATATGATTTATGCTCTTGACATTGCTTAGAGAAAGGCCATAGTATCTTTTTATAAAAAAAGTTCCCAAATTAAGCACTTGTTCCTCAGCTTGTACTCAGTAACTATTTACATTGTTATTACCATATTTTATTTAAATGTTTAACTTTACACAACTATTAACAATCTTAGAGCTATAAAGGGAGATATAAAGTCCAGGATTACATAGGTCATGCCACTGCTGTATTTTGTATTATTATTTCACTTGCTGCAGCTTTCACAATAATGGCTTTCCATAAACAGATTATAGTTTGTTTAAATAATTGGTTTCCCATTAGCTGTTAAAATGGTGCTATAAAATTAAAGTGACACCAAAACAAATCTTATTTTGAAGTGGGCTATACATAATAAACATTTCCTAATCAAGTGGGTCACATAAAGAAACTTGATCAGGCAAAAGGGAATTCCAGAAATAGAGGGGAAGGAGAGATCAGTCTTAAACTGGAATTTCAGCAGATCTATTGAAAAAGATACCACAACACAGGAATAAGAGCAGGTGAGTCACATTGCCGCTGCCTCTTCTTTTAGATGACTTAGAGGACCCTTGCTCCCTAAGAAAAATCCACACGTTTGTCTGAAGAAAAATGCTAAATAGTAAGTGACTTGTATATAGGGATTGTAGTTTTATATTTTATTTTTTATTGAAATTAAATAGAGCTATATTTCTTAATAATAAATACATTTGTGCAATTTATACTATCAACTTTCAAAAAAGAAATGTTCTAAGGAACTAGAGGTTAACTTGTTCATTGGCTTTTCAAAGATAAAATTAACTTTATGAAATGCCACAAGGTTTTATTATTTAATAAAAGATCTAATGAAAGTGAGAAAGCTAGTGTCTTGCACACAGAACAAAACTTGTAGCTAGGGGAAATGATGTTATAATAAAGTACTGTATAGGCCAATTAATTTTGGGACACTTATTATTGAACATTTTAAATATAAGCAGCTAAATAGACTATCTAATTGAGAGAGCTACAAGCTCTCCTTGTTTCCATCTTCAAGTAAATTAACTTTTCTTAGCTATTCTATCACACTAAGGAATTATGGGACAACAATCCAGAGGTCTAGAAGTAAATACATTTGTGCAATCTATACTATCAACTTTCAGAAAAAATATTCTAAGGAGCCTATAGGTTAACTTATTCATTGGTTTTGAAAGATAAAATTAACTTTATGAAATACCACTCAACTGGAGTGAACACATTATTTCATTATGCTCTTCTATCATGCCTAAGAAAAAGCACATAACAGCATATACACGTTTTTATTGTTTAGTGTTCAAAAGAAAAGTATACACATTTTGGAATGAAGAAGCTACTTTTTGTTGGCATATACTTGAACAGACTGACAATTTTTAAACATTTTGATGAGGTCAATGTGATGTAGAAAAGATCAGACTTTTCCATTGCTCCAACAGAAATGTAGAAGCAAAGAGATCAAACTGAATTTCTGGAGGGATGTTGGCCAGGAAGAAACTACTCATTGCTTGTATGGCCTCTTCTTCCCTTTGGCACCACTTAATAGTTTCTGATGAGGAGACAGGGTTTATTATATCTTGTGTCTTCCCTCACTGATGCATTTAAAACTGAAAAAAGTGCAAAATATTTCCTTATACCAAAATGACTGACTGATCTTTGGGTACCTGGATTCTACTGGGTTTCGTATCAATGAAGATAATCACTGAAACAGAATGATTGAATTAAACATATGCTAAAATAAACAGCCATTTATAATTTAAAAAGAAATTGCTTATATCTTGATATCGACAAATCCAGTATACGACTTTTCTTTTAAAAAAATCAAAGATACCTTCTCACCATAGTCTAAGTGGATTTTTTTTTATACAAAAGGAGTAACATCTTTCACTATTAACTTGCACAAAACAGCCCAATGCAATGTCCATAATGCATGTACAGGATTGCATATTATTGTCATATTTGCCTTTTATAGCCAAGCTATTCTAGATATAATGTAGAATTAACTGTATGAAACACTTGCCGTTCAATATTTTAGCTGAAAAGTAGTATTATTAGCCAAAAGTTATCCTAAGTTATAAAATGTGTATAGTGACCACTAGATGGTGCAGTCATATCAATGATCTTTCTGTTTTATTCCACATTGTGCAGCTCTTAACGGTATGTATTTATAGGTTCCTGGATACATTTCAAATGAAATATAATACAGGTAGGACAATAAACCTGATGGGCCTTGGAAAAAGCTCATTTAGATAGATATGAAGACTATAAAATACAATTTAATTTGACTAGCTATACAGCTTGGTGACTAGAAGATCAAATTCTGAAAGAATATTTTAATGATTATTCAGTTACTGAGCATTTGAAGCCTGCCCATTTTGTGCGTACAACTTATTATGACCTCATATTATAAACTGAACAAAATTGAATTTATTTATTCCAGGCATCCTAAATCTTCTTATAATGCATTTATTTTGAATATGAATGCAAATACAAATGTAAGCCAAATCCTTAAATTATTTTAAAGAAATCACAGTGTATCTCACTGTTCATGAAGTATGAATTAGATTTACAATTTACTAACAGATCAAGAGAAGTTGTATTGTTTGGCAATAACCTGAAATCTATAGCAAATACATCATAAAACATTTATTCTCACATTCCTCCAAGCAAATGGGAAACCAATGTTAAGTTGGTTGGAGACATCTACGGTTAGTGATAGGTCGTTCATACTACCTCTTGGCCAAACAAGTGAAATAATTGTCTTTCAATCTTTTACATAGAAAGAAGAGGAAACATAAATAAACAAAAATTAAAATCCAGTTTGAGAAACATTGGTAGAAAGGGAATCTCAAAAGATGCCAACTTCCTTTCCAGATTAAGAGACTGACATCATTTCAACAGAAATACTTCTTGCCCCCATTCAACATCCCACCACAACCTCCTTATCAACAACAAAAATAAAGATAAAAGAATATTGTGAAAGTATTCACAATCAAAACTAAAGGAGGTGGCTCAAGCTCCTGATGGTAACTCAGGATTGTCAGATGACTTCCTCAGAAAAACATCTGAAAGCACGGACATGTTCTCACAGCTAAATCATTGGTCTTCAGCCAGTTTAAGCAGAATCCATCCTTTTCTGCTACCTTCTTTGGCTACTGGTCCCTCCAAATGTAAGAAGCAGTCTTCAACAGAACTGTTGGAACAATAACAAAAAAGAAATCAAGAATGCCTTACAATCAGAGCATCTTAACTAATAATTTACATCAATAGCAAATCACAATATATTAAAGATAAGGACATGAATAATTGTACTTTTGCCAATTACTGTCTAGCAGTACTGTTCAAAGCTACCAGATGCACATAAATTGGAGATGGACATCTTGGCCAAAGACAGACAACTTATGTATGACTATATGAAACTAGTTATTCCCCATTTTGCCCAGGTAACACCACTACTCAGAGAGCTACACTGTTTGCCTGTGGTCTTCTGGATGCAGCTAAGAGTATTGGCTGTCAACATTAAAACCTTATATGGCTTGGAGAGGAAAGACATTTGGAGACTTGAAAGTTTTATATTATGAGAAAATGTTTGTGATTGAATCAACATAGCATTTACTCAACGCAACAAGGTGAATGATTATAAACAATGTGTTATCGATTATTCTAATCTTTAATACGTACTTGGGAGTGTAAAACTTTTAGAGTTCATTGGGACTGAAGTGGCTAATTACCCTAAGTAACAATAACAACAAAGGAGCCTAAAAGCTTACAATTCTAAAAGATGAATACATATTTTTAAAACTCTCACAGCATATTCTACAATAAAGAAACAAGCTATTGTTTGTAAATAAAAGGCGCATCTGTTTCTCAATCATTCTTTTCCTCCTGTTCCTCTTCTACTGTTAGATGGGAGCAATTCATATATAATCCACTTCCATGTTTCTGCTTCAAGCATTCTTGTTACATATATGTCACGTTTGAAGAGAATGCTGTAATTGGGACTCTTGCCAGTAAGTCTGATAACCTAGTCCACGCATTCTGTAACTCTAAGAAAACTGTAATGTGAAAATCTCCAATGGCCAAAGCTTTGATAGGTGATGGTTGTCAATATCTAGACTGCAACCTGGAATGAAATGTATGTAACAGATATAAGAATATATATCACCAAGATTGTTGAATGTACAAAAGTAGTTCACAGATTGGCAATAATTGTATTATAATGAAAGAAAAAGGATTGAATTTGTGTAAATATAGTACAAAATTATGAATGTTAGGTGACACTAATGGATGAATGGAAATAAGGCAGGGAACTAAAGAAAATGCAATGGAGGCACCTGGAGATAAATACGATATTATTTGATGGGGAAAAGAGTCACAATTGCAGGTGCAGATGGTATTAAAATGGCATGGCTGCTGTAAAGAAAACACACTAGAAAAATAAAGCAGAGTTGTGGAAATCAGATAACTACAGCAAGTGAAAAACATCTAACACAATTTCTTAGTATGGAAGGCCTTGGAAGCAGTGGGGAAGCAGTGTTTTAATGGCCATGCAACACATTTGGGGAACAAGTTGGGGAAAACTATGCTGAAGTTCCCCCCCCCCCCCAACTAACTCTGTGGCAAATCTTATTTACTGAAATTAGAACAAGTCCCTCAAGCAGAAATCCAAAATACCATCTTAGGCATTTATTTCTTCCTCATTTCAAATAAATATTTTTAGCATAAATTATTTAGCTATTATGTATTGTTTTCAGAACCAGAAGTATATAAATATATTGCATATATTTTATCTTGTTGATAAAATCTGAAAAGATCTATTTATTTAAGCTACTACAGATGAATTATTTTAGTTAAATACTTACATAAAACCTCAGAATTTTCTGAGTTTTGTCTGAAGTTGAGGACTGTCATCAGATATGGGGTCTTCCTCTTTAGGCATCTCAGGAAATTCTGTTGATTGACTGTAATCTTCTTTTCTCTTCCTCTGAGACTGATGTTCTATTAACTTTTCTTGGTTTTCATCTATAAGCCCAACTTCTAAATCTTTTATTGTTGATTGTTCTGTTTCAAGAGATCCTACTGGATGATCTGCTGAGACAATATTTCCTAGCATGATGTTTTGAGTCTCTGTTGAAACAACTACATCCGCTTTTAATTGAGGCTTTGAATCGTATTTCTTACTTTCTGTTTCATTTAAAATCTCTTTCACAGTTTCAAGATCAGCGTCTGTCTTTCTGGAATTCCAGTTTTCTCTATCTTCAGAAACTATAGAATATGAAGGCATTTCTTTTGCTACTTCAATGGCGTCTTCTGTCTCTGCATTTACAGTTGCTGGCTGAATTTCATGATTTTTCTCTTCTGCCAGAGAAACTTGGTGATCAACTTGTAAAACTTCCTGAATTCCACATTCATTTAAATCCATTAGACACAGTTCACTCTTCTGCTTTAAAGGAGAAATAGCCTCTTCTGATTGTTGAAATTGAGCAACTGCACTAATTTTCTGCACAATTTTGTAACTCTGAGACTCTATTGTTTCAGTTTGAACATATTTTGGAAATTCAGTAGAGGTCAGGACTCCTTCTGAAGTCATCACCTTTTGCTCAGCTTCTTCCTGAGATGAAGATGTTAGAAGCTCCATTTCTGGAGGTGATTGAGATGTACTTGTTTGTGAATGTTCTCTGGTGCATCTTTCTGCTAATTCTTCTGCAAATTCACAAGAGGGTATTTCTTCTGAAGTCATCATCACCTTTTCCTCAGTTTCTACTTCTGATGAAGATTTTGGCATCTCCATTTCTGGAGGGGATCCAGATGTACTCATCTGGAATGCACCTTCTCTGGTGCATTTTTCTGCCGATTCTTCTGAAAATTCAGTACAGGGTATTCCTTCTGAAGTCATCACCACCTTTTCCTCAGTTTCCACTTCTGATGAAGATGTTGGCAGCTCCATTTCTGGAGGAGATCCAGATGTACCCATCTGGAATGCACATTCTCTGGTGCATCTTCCTTCTGATTCTTCTGGAAATTCAGTAGAGGAGATGCATTCTGAAATCATCACTTTTCCCTCAGTTTCTTCTTCGGAGGAATATTTTGGCAGCTCCATTTCTGGAGGAGATCCAGATGCACATGTCTGGAATGCATCTTCTCTGGTACATCTTCCTGCTGATTCTTCTGAAAATTCAGTAGAGGAGATGCATTCTGAAATCATCGACTTTTCCTCAGTTTCTTCTTCAGATAAAGATTTTGGCAGCTCCATTTCTGGAGGGGATCCAGATGCACCTATCTCTGTTGTGCATCTTCCTTCTGTTTCTGCTGGAAATTCAGTAGAGGGGATGCTTTCTGAAAGCATCACCTTTTCCTCAGTTTCTTCTGATGAAAATTTTGGCAGCTCCATTTCTGGAGCAGATCCAGATGCATCTGTCTGGAGTGGACCTTCTCTGGTACATTTCCCTGCTGATTCTTCTAGAACTAAATCTATTTTCTCTGGAAATGCCATTTTATCTGCATCAGGATACAGAACTGCAGCTTCACTTTTCTGCTTTGAAAGAGTCCTGGACTCTTGTTTAAACTGAGCAATTGCATTCTGGATTATTATCTGCACAAGTTTATAAGCCCGAGATTCTATTGTTTCAGGCAGAACATCTTTCTGAAATTCAGTAAAGGGAATTCTTTTTGAAGTCATCACCTCTTCCTCAGTTTCTTTATCAGCTGAAGATGTTAGCACCTCCATTTCTGAAGGGGATCCAGAGTTACTTGTTTGGAGCACACTTTCTCTGGTGCATCTTCCTGATGCTTCTTTTAGCATTGACTCTATTTTTTCTGAAAATGCCACTGGATCAGGATCAGGGTATATAACTACACTCTTCTGCTTTGAGATAGCCATGGACTCTTGTTGAAATTGAGCAACTGCCTTCTGGATTATTATCTGCACAATTTTGTAAGCCTGGGATTCTATTGCTTCAGACTGAACACTTTTTGGAAATTCGGTATAGGGGATTCTTTCTGAAGCCATCATCACTTTTTCCTCAGTTTCTTCATCAGCTGAAGATATTGGCAATTCCATTTCTGGAGGGGATCCGGGTACATTTGTCTGGAGTGCATCTTCCCTGGTGCATTTCCCTGATGATTCTTCTAGCGCTGAATCTATTTTCTCTGAAAACGTCCCTGCATCATGATCAGGATATAGAACTGCAATTTCACTCTTCTGCTTTGAAAGAGCCATGGACTCTTGTTGAACTTGAGCAACTGCATTCTGGATTATTTTCTGTGCAATTTTATAAGCCTGAGACTCTGTGGTTTCAGGTTGAACCTCTTCTGGAAATTCAGTAGAGGGGATTCCTTCTGAAATCATCACATTTTCCTCAGTTTCTTTATCAGCTGAAGATATTGGCAACTCCATTTTTGTTTGTAAACTAGATGAACCTATCTGGAGTACATCTTCCCTGGTGTGTCTTCCTGCTGATTCTTCTAGCCCTGAACCTATTTTCTCTGAAAATGCCACTTTATCAGGATCAGGATACAGAATGGCAGTTTCTCTTTTCTGTTTTGAAAGAGCCATGGAGTCATGTTGAAATTGGGCAACTGCATACTGGATTATTATCTGCACAATTTTGTAAGCCTGAGACTCTGTGGTTTCAGGCAGAACAACTTTTGGAAAGTCAGTAGATGTTGAGACTCCTTCTGAAGTCATCACCCTTTGCTCAGCTTCTTCCTGAGCTGAAGATGTTGGCAGATCCATTTCTGGAGGGGATCCATATGTACCCGTCTCGAATGCACCTTCTGTGGTGCATCTTCCTGCTGATTCTTCTGGAAATTCAGCAGAGGGTATTCCTTCTGAAGTCATCACCACCTTTTCCTCAATTTCTTCTTTTGATGAAGATTTTGGCAGCTCAATTTCTGGAGGCGATCCAGATGTACTCATCTGGAGAGCAGTATCTCTGGTGCATTTCTCTGGTGATTCTTCTAGCACTGAATCTATTTTTTCTGAAAATGCCACTCCATCAGGATACAGAACCGCAGTTTCACTCTTCTCCTTTGAAAGAGCCATTGGCTCTTGTTGAAATTGAACAACTGTACTCTCTTCCTGTGCACTTTTTAAACTCTGAGATTCAATTATTTCAGGCTGAGCATCTTTTGGAAATTCAGTAGAGGAGATTCCTTCTGAAGTTATCACTTTTTGCTCAGTTTCTTCAACAGGTGAAGATGTTGGCAACTCCATTTCTGGAGGGGATTGTGTCTGGATTATACCTTCCCTGGTCCATTTCCCTGGTGATTCTTCTAGCATTGAGTCTATTTTCTCTGAAAATGCCACTTCATCAGGATCAGGATACAGATCTGCAGTTTCACTCTTCTGCTTTGAAAGAACCATGGACTCTTGTTGAAATTGAGCAACTGCATTCTGGATTATTATCTGTGCAATTTTGAAAGCCTGAAGCTCTATTGTTTCAGGCTGAACATCTCTTGGAAAGTCAGTAGAGGAGATTCTTTCTGAAGTTATTACCTTTTCCTCAGTTTCTTCTTCCAATGAAGATGGTGGCAGCTCCATTTCTGAAGGGGATCCAGATGTACCCATCTGGGGTACACCTTCACTAGTGCATCTTCCTACTGATTCTTCTAGTATTGAATCTGTTTTCTCAGAAAATGCCACCTTATCATGATCAAGATACAAAACTGCAGTTTCACTCTTTAAAAGAGCCATGGATTCTTGTTGAAACTGAGTGGCTGCATTCTCAATTATTATTTGTGCAATTTTGTAAGCCTGAAACTCTATTGTTTCAGGCTGAACATTTCTTGGAAAGTCAGTAGAGGGAATTACTTCTGAAGTAATTACCTTGTGCTCAATTTCTTCATCAGATGAAGATTTTGGCAGCTCCATTTCTGGAGAAGATCCAGATGCACCCATTTGGAGTGCATCTCTGGTGCCTATTCCTGCTGATTCTTCTAGCATTGTATCTATTTTCTCTGAAAATGCCATTGTGTCCAGATCAGGACACAGAACTGCAATTTCACTCCTCTGCTTTAACTGAGCAACTGCCTTCTGGATTATTATCTGCACAATTTTGTAAGCCTGAGACATTGTTTCAGGCTGAAGCTCTTTTGGAAATTCAGTAGAGGGGATTCTTTCTGAAGCCATCATCACCTTTTCCTCAGTTTCTTCTTCAGATATTGGCAGCTCCATTTCTGGAGGGGATTCAGGTGCGCCTTCTCTGGTACATCTTCTTGCTGATTCTTCTAGCACTGAATTTATTTTCTCAGAAAATGCCTGTTTATCAGGATCAGGATACAGAATTGCAGTTTCACTGTTCTGCTTTGAAAGAACCATGGACCTTTGCGGAAATTGGGCAAGTGCATTTTGGATTATTATCTGCACAATTTTGTAAACCCGAGACTCAATTGTTTCATGTTGAACATCTTTTGGAAATTCAGTAGAGGGGATTCCTTCTGAAGTCATCAGCTTTTGCTCAGGTTCTTCTTTAGCTGACAATGGCTGAACGGTTACTTCTGTAAGACTCGCACTAATCCCCTTTTCATCAGGCAATTTAATTCTTTCAGCAACACTTTGCAACATATCCTGTGTTTGTTTATTTAATTCTTCCAGATCTTGCTCATTTTCCTCGATCTCTTGCACTGGTGTAGCTATTTCTGTAGTATCAGGAGACTCAGTTAGCCTTGAAACTGCCGAAATCATTTCAGTTGTCTCTTCAGCACAAGACATTTCAGTTGTTTCTTTAGCACAAGATATTTCAGTTGTCTCTTCAATGACTGAAGCTTCTTCCCTAGCTGTAACTGCTTCTGAGGTTAACTCCAGGTCCCCGATTATACTATCACCACTAATATCCTTTCTCATTTGTGGCTCAAGTTTAGTAACCACTACTGTTTCTTCAACAATTCCAGTTCCAGAAAGCTGCTCAGACTGTTCCTCATCATCATTCACATGTTCAGTGGACACAGTCACAGCAGCTGGTATCCAAGATGGTGATCTTTCTTCAATACTTATAATTGCTCTCTCACCTTCTAGCACTGAGACAGCAACGGCATGAACTAATCCTTCAATGACCTGCTGAGTTACTGATGTACTTTCTGACTTTTCTATATTTTGACTTGGAATTTCCTTATCCATATCATCTTGCTCTGATTTTTGAGCTTCAAATTTCTCTTGCTCAGCAGCATCGTACTCTGATAAAGGAACCACAGCTGGGACATCAAAGTCCTCCTCATTTGTTCCTGTCATTTCTTCTCCAGCTTCTAGAACAGGAGCATGCTCTGGTATTCCATCAGACTTTTTCTTCCTACGACCAGGCATTAATTTTTTAAATGAAACCCAGGATTCTTCTTTTCCGGTATCCCCATCTAAGGTGGCATGTTCTAAACTTGGAACTGTGGTGGGTTCATCATTTTTCTCTTCCATCCTTGTTTTCGATTTTCTTCTTGGAGTTACTAGTCTTTTAAAAGATTCCCATGTTGAAATTCCCTCTGTTTCAGATGGGCTTCCTGCTTGCTCTGGTGAAGAACTTCCTTGTCCTTGATCACTTTCATGTGAGTTAGTAAAGATGGTATCATGTACTGCTTCTTTATTTGGTGCACTCTCGTCTAATTTTTGTTCATCTTGAGCAAGTCTTTGTCCAGCTTCTTCATCAGAAGATGAAGATTTTCGGCTTCTTCTCTTTGATGAGCCTACACAGATTAAAGCTTCCCATGATACAGAAGTATCAACTTTTTTCTTGGGCTCATCTGCACTTTTTTCTATTTTTTGTTCCTCACCATTTTCTTTAGTATCTTCCTGTTCGTCATTAGGTCCACTTTCGGTTGTCTTATCAAGTTCTTCTTCTCTGTCACCTTCAGAAAGTCTCCTAACCCGTTTCTTTGGAGTCACCATTTTTTTAAAAGATGCCCAAGGTGTAACACTTTCTCTTTTCTTCTCTGCATCTAAAGGAAACCCTTCTTCAGCTTCAGGCATCTGTGCAGCATCCGGGGCCTTTTCTATAGATTCTGTTATTTCTTCAGGAGAAGAAGCAGAACTCTCTCCCCTTGGGTCATCTGGACTTTCTGCAGTATCAGACAACTGCTGTGCTTCTTCTGCTGCTTCCTCTGGTTTAGCTTCTTTCTTTCCTTTGCGTTTCTTTCTTGACATTTTCTTTAAGCCAGGACCCGTAAAAAGTTTCTTTAAAGGGCTGCCTTGCATCTTGGCTTTTTCTTGAGATGACAGCAATTCTGCCTCACTTGTTATTATGCCTTCTGGGAGTTTGCCTGCTGCAGCATCAAGACTGCTTGGATCGGTTTGGATGAAGTGTTCCTTCGCTATTTCAAGAACTGTTTCTGTGACTTTTAACTGTTCAACGGTGGGCTGTTCTTTCTGAAAGTCATCATTTGTTTCCACTAATTGTTCAAGAATTGGTTGTTCTTTTTTAGTTATTTGGGTTTTTTCTTCTGTCACAACAGCACTAACACCAATATCTATCTCTCTAGGTTTTTCATCAAAAACCTCTGTGGCCAGAGGAGCCCTTGGTTCTATTATTTCAAAAGGTTCCTCAGGCTTTTCTATTGCTACTGGAGACAGTGAATCCAATTGGTTTATTTCTTCTTCAAATACTTTATTTAAAAGTTCTGTTTTTGATTCATGCAATGAAACAACACTTTGCTCTATGCCCATTCGACTTTTTTGTACTCGTTCCAATTTTTCCTTGGACTCCAAGTCAGTCTCCCCTTCCAAGATTATATCCATTTCTTTTATATTTTCAGCCAGTTCTTCTGCTGGTGGTTGCTCCCTGGGAGTAGCAGCTTCTTTCAGGTCGGTTTCTGTTGGAACTTTGACCATTTTTATTTCTTCTGCCCTTTCTTTCTCGCCTTCCATTTTTTCATCACTGGCTTCAAAAGAAATGTCTTTATTTAT